TGGTAACTCGAAATGCCAATAAAAGTAATCGCACCCATCACGGTACCGAGCCGGTTGTTTTGATACATCGTGGTGGTTCACATTGAAGCTGATGGAAGAGCAGGTGGCTGTTGCTTCATTAACGATGAATCTCCGGTCGTTAACGACGAAGTTTCTGTAGAAATGAGCTCAAACTAGAGAAGTCTTCTTGGTAAAAAGGTAAATTTAAATTTTATGTTTTTGAGTTTAATTTGGAGATTCCTTTTTTACGATAAAGGTTTTTGTGTTCGTCTTCATGTTACGATACGTTTAATAACGAATAATAAAAATAAAACGTATTGATCTCAACATTCTCAGGTAAAACCATCCTGCGTTAGAAAGCTGGACCCGTTGGCCACGAACCTGAAATTAGAACCAGCGCTGCCAACTCCAACTGATGCCAACGTTTCATTTTAAAGCCAAACTTCTCAGATATTATTATCGATGATGTCAATTTTTACTGATCGTTATTGACGACGGTCTCAGTCATTCGGAGTGGCGTACCTTTTGGCGCTCATCTGCTCTTGAAGTCTGCTGTACATCTCCAGAACTGAAGAAACCAAGCAGAGACAAAACATCAGTAAAATTTTATTGACTCAAACCGACACGAGGACAGTTTGGCTGTGGTGGAATGAGCGTCAGAATAAAAGCTTTAAATAAGAAAAACAAAACGGTGGAATAATTAAATCATCGGCCTCCGTTTTCTGAGCTGAAGAGGAAATTAAAAACTACCTGAAACAGGTTTTTCCTGGTCAGAGGCAGCGCAGTGACAGATCCTGGCCAACAGAGGGAGCCGTTTTATAGCACAATGATGGAGGGGGGGTAATGGTGGCCTTGACCACCACAGATTAAGCTATGGCCACCCCAATCGTTTGAGGAAACTGTACTTTAAAGCAATATAAAAACTAGAAAGAGTTTCTTCAAATGGTAGGGGTCGTTGGTTTACAAATATATATATGGTAGCGGCCATCTTGGATTTTAACTTGGCAACCCAATATTCAAAAGGAACTTTTCTCAAGCCTAGATCAAGGTTCTTTATCGTCATTCACATCACATATGGTACATGAGGTGGAACAAATATGTACTCAAAGTCCCAGTTACACCCCACAAAAGCAAAAATATAAAGTATTAAAAAGAAACTGTATCCAAGGATCTAAGATATATGCTTAAAATAATGTATGTGTTAAGCAGCATATGTGAGCAGAGTGAACAAGAGGGGGCTCAACACGTAGCCCTGAGGTGAGCCAGTGCTGAGGATTGTGGTGGTGGAGGAGAAGTTGTGGATCCTCACAGACCAACATGGACGTCAGCAACTCGTTTTTCAAGTTATTTTGCTCACAACACGGATGGATGAACGGAGGGCATGTCCACGTCCTCAGACAGACCGTGGACATCAACTTGTTACATTTATGGACCGAAAACAGACGAATCTGCTCATCTATCAGGTAAGATTGTTGCATTAGAGCAGGATCAGCTGTTGTTGAAAAGTGCAGCAGAAATGTTACAAAAAGGCTAAATACTTGTTTTATCACGATCATGAATTTCTATTGAAAAAAATCTTCCTGTGAGCTGAAAAGCGTTAAAGCAAAGATTTTATTTACTAAAGCTAAAAGTCTGCTCGACTCTAAGTGACATCCGAGTAGACCTGTCATGATAAACAATAAATCAATTAATCACATGATAAATTAAAATCATCAACCTCATTTTCATTTATCGACTTCATCGTTTCTTCGTGTCTCTCTCTTTCTACTGAAGACACTGGATGAGAAAAGGCTCAGCTCTGGTGCTCGTCACTGACCCCGCCCTTTCTCTTTAAAATCCATTTAAATCGCCCAAAATCACGTTTTCGGATCGTTCAAAGCAGCTAAGCTGAGAAGCTAAGCTACGAGCTAAGCTAACAGGCCGACCTCGGGAATAAATCTCCGTCTTGTCGAGCTCCAAAATCCACGGTTGAAACCCGTGCCGTCGTGAAAAAAGTTGTTTTCTCTGCAAAAAGCAGCCGAGAACTTGTTTACTGATTTTTATCAAAAGCTTTGTGTGAAAAATGCTAAAGAGCTCAAACAACACAGAGCGTCCGCCATTTTGAGAAACGAAATAAAAAAGGACTGAGACAGCCCATGTCACGTCAAGGGGCCTCCCTCCCATTTTTCTTAAAGAGACACGCTGCTCGCTCCCTCACTATCCATCCTTCAGTTCAAACTGTCTTATACTGCCATCCAGTGGTCATAAAAAAGGTATTACACTCAAAAAATTAACCAACATTTCTTCTTAAATTTGACAATAATTACCAATTATTGTCAAATTTCAAACAATATTATCGTTTATCGCAATAATTTCTGAGACAATTAATCGCCCAGAAAAATTTGGTATCGTGACAGGCCTACTTCAGAGTCTTTCCATTTGGGGGGGGGGGGGGTTCCACCCACTTCCGGTTCGGTTTGTAGGAGTCGAGCTGACGACCTGACACTGATTGGTTGAGCGACGTCAACCGTGAGAACGATCAAACCCAACCTCCCAACTGCACTGCCCGTTTTTCACTTGTAACACAACCATTAAAACGAGCACACAAACCAGCACCGTGGTCCGGCGTGTAGAAGATGACCGACCACAGATTCCAGGAGGATTTAGATCAAAAGGTCTCGACTAACGGTTCCAACCCGTGGATGGAACGTGGCCTCGACTCTGCATTTTTGGAAACGGCGTCCGAGGACGGCGAGTGTTCTGTGACTGTATTCTCTCGTTTGCTCATTGCTGCGTTGCGTTTTGGGCAACCCTACCTCAAGTTCTATGGAAAACCACAGAGAACGAGTAGACCCGAGTCGAAGCGAGTCGTGGTGAGACGAGACAAACGGCATAAAGGCGTATCTGACTCGTAGTGACCACACAGGTGAACAGGTTCGTGCCGATATAGTTCTGAGCGGTTAAGAGTTAAAATGTGTCGCTTTGCGTTACCTGGAAGGCAGTGGGTCAGCTTGTCGACGGTGGTGGCGATGTTCCTCTGCTGCACTCGGCACAGAGTCAGCTCCTCCATCGACCCGGTGAGCTGCGAGGGAGGAGGGGGTGAGTTT